GAACGAGGCTGGGAATGAGCCTCCTCATCCCCTGAATTCCTCCATCCCCCTGAATTCATCCATCCCCCTGAATTCATCCATCCCCCTGGATTCCTCCATCCCCCTGGATTCCTCCATCCCCCTGGATTCCTCCATCCCCCTCAATTCCTTCATTCCCCTGGAATCCTCCATCTCCCTGGATTCCTCCATCCTGCTGGATTCCTTCATCTCTCTCCCTGGATTCCTTCATCCCCCTTCATTCCTCCATCCCCCTGGAATCCTCCATCCCCCTCAATTCCTTCATCCCCCTGCATTTCTCCATCCCACTTCATTCCTCCATCCCTCTGGATTCCTCCACCCTGCTGGATTCATCCATCTCCCTCCATTCCTCCATATCCCTGGATTCTTCCATCCCCCTGGATTCCTCCATCCCCCTGGATTCCTCCCCGCCGGTTTGATGCGGTCGGGGATGGAGCTTCCAGCACGTGGCAGCTGCCGACTCCCCAAGCGGTGACATCATCACAGCTTCCACATGCTCCGTGTCCTCGGGGAGCTCCTCATCCCAGCTTCCTGCTCCAAAATTCCTGTTTTTTTCCCATGGAGATGGCCCTGGCGGTGTCCCCCTGTCCCAGCCCGGGGTTCGGAGCTGGTGGATCCCTCGCTCGCAGGGAACGGCTGATGCACAAACCTGGCCAAAGCCAAACATTCCCAGGGAATGAGGAGAATCTCATGGAAGCCAGGCAGGCTCCAGCTGCCAGACTGGCCCGGCCCCAAGCCCCGGCCTGAACTGCCGTGAACTTTTGGGAAATTTGAGGCTGGAGCTGGTGATTTAGCCCAAAAAACATCTCCCTTCAGAGCATCCCTCTGCACCCCGGCACAAGGAACGGGAGGAGCTCCTGGGGGCTTCCAGAGGGCAGGGTTAGCTGGGATACAGGGAGGGAATTCCTGGCTGGGATGGAATTCCCAGAGGAGCCGTGGCTGGCCCCTGGAAATGTCCAAATCCAGGTTGGATGAGGCTTGGAGCAACCTTGGAGCATGGGATGTGTTTTGTATTTGCATCCCAGCCCTGGCTGGGGGCTGCAGGACAGATCTGGGACCTTGGAGGGACACCTGAGGTGTCCTGGGCTCCTCTCTGACCTTCTCCTTGTGCCACAGGACACGGCAGATTACGTGAAGCCGGTAACGTTCTCCATCGACTACGAGCTGGAGCACACTGAGCACGGCCCCATGCTGGAGGATGGGTGGCCCACCTCACTCAGGGTCTCTGTAGGTAGCAGCTGCCACCTCCCCGGTGACACCTCCCCAGTGACACCTCCTAAAGTTCCTCCCAAAGTTCCTCCTCCCAAATGCCACTTCCCAAAGTTCCACCTTCCCAAGTTCAACCTCCTGAAGTTCCACCTTCCAGGTGCCACCTCCCAAAGTTCCTCCTCCCTGATGCCACCTCCCTGGTGCCACCTCCCAGAGTGTCACATCCCAGGTGACACCTCCCAAGTTCCTCCTCCCAAAGTTCCTCCTCCCAGGTGCCACCTCCCAAAATTCCTCCTCCCAGGTGCCACATCCCAAGTTCCACCTTCCAGGTGCCACCTCCCAAAATTCCACCTCCCAGGTGCCACCTTCCAAAGTTCCTCCTCCCAGGGCACTAGGGCAGATTTATCTCCGGGAAATCGTCACCGAGCTGCTCTCGTTGTCCCCTCAGGTCCCCTTCTGGAACGGCTGCAACGAGGACGAGCACTGTGTCCCGGACCTGGTGCTGGATGCCAGGAGTGACATTCCCAGTGCCACGTGAGTTGGAGACCCAGAGCATCCTCCAGGAGTGTCACCAG